TTCCTAACACCCCTACCTGTATGGAGATCATGGAGAACCGCTGGGGAACAGCCTCAGCCCCCAGGATCACCCATTCTGTGGCTCTAGACTCCAGTCTGCATCATCCAACTTCCCCAAGATCCCAATGTCTTTTCCCTCCTTGCTCAACTCCCTACCCCAGCTGGAAGCTCAGAATCCTCTGTCCTAAGAGGCCACACTGTGCACCTCACTCCCAAGCCCCAGAGCTAAGGTTCTGCCAACAGCACAGGACATGAAATCAAACTCTGTCACAGACCCTACCTCTGTGCAAGTTGGGCCAACCAACCCCTGACCTCTCTGGGCCCTCTTTTCTGTCTGCTAGATCAGATCAGTCCTATAGTAGTGGAAGCCTTTTTTCCAACTATACCATGAAGCCGAACTCCCAGATATAAAGGCAACCCCACCCCAACCTGCCCCCCAACTCTTGCTGTAACCCTTGGACTACAGGAAGCCAGTAGAAAACTGCTTATGTAGACAATTTGGAAGAAAGGATCCTTCCGAATGGCCTTGGTCTCTCTTGCCTGTCTCCTTTTCTTCTTCCCTCCCTCCCTCCTCAGGGTGCCTGGCACTGAGCACAAGGAAGGAACCAGGCAGGATCACTGACCCAATGTTGAACTCTCCACTGGCACCAGGAGGCCCTCCACCCATGAACTTGGAGGCTGTGTAGATTTCACTGAACAGGATGTCTGGGGATCAGGGAAAGCATCAATTATCCAGAGTTTTTTCTGTCTGGATGTCCCACCTAAGGCATCCTAAGGGAGGTGGGCGTCCCTAGAATCATGCCCACCTGTTCTCAAAGTCCAGAAAGTTGGCAGCAGCCCTCCCTGCCCTCCACACTTGACCAGGTAGGGAGGTCAGCCTTGTGGCCACCTCCTCCTACAGGCCCGTGGTGCTGCCAAGGACAACTATATACCCTGGCACGAGGCTCACACCAGTCATTCTAGCCCCAGGAGCTGGTGTCTAGGATGAGCTACAGACCATTTAGGGCCAGCCCCCCTGGAATTGGGCCCTGTGTCACCCTCTCTCAATGCCTGGGTCCTCCTCAGGGAGATGACAGGGAATTTTCTTTTTTCTTTTCCAAGGTCTTTTTCTGATTTCTGAAATGTTCTTTAATAAGCACATACACTTTTGGGGCACCTAGGTGACCCAGTTGGTTAAGCAGCCGACTCTTGATTTTGGCTCAGGTCATGATCTCAGGGTCATGAGATCGAGCCCCAGGTCAGGCCCAAACTCAGCGCTGAGTCTGCTTGAGATTCTCTCTCTGCCTCTTCCTCTGCCCCTCCCCATGCTCACTCTCTCTCTCAAATAAATAAGATCTTTAAAAAAAAATAAGCACATATACTTTTATAATCAAACCCAATAACTTGAGCTGAAAAGACAGCATGTTAGGTGCCAGCCTCTATGTTCTCCACAATGCCCCTGCCACCCTCCCAGCAGCCTGAATTTCATCATAAATTTCATCACAAGCCTCCACGAGCCACACTGCAGCTATCCCGGGAAGTCCCCTCTGCTCTCTGGCCTCTGGGGGTCATGCTTCAGCCCTTTTGGGAGTAGAACAACAGCCTTCCCACGTCTTCAGAGCTGGGGGATCTCACCCTGTGTCCCTCCGCAAACTGACCTTGAGGGGCACTTGCGCCCCACATTCTCAGCTGCTGCCTTTCCTCCAAGAAGCCAGACATCTCAGCCACCCAGCAAGGACATTCATCTGCTGATTTCCCATATCCAGCTCAGGGTCAAGCCAGCTGCTGCCTCAAAGGGTCCCCAGTGGCCCAGGTCCTTCACAGTAGCCAGCACTAAGAACAGAGGGGGCAGAGAACAAGGGGCAGAGAAGGGCTATGTTCCACCACCTAAAGCTGGGCCGAGTCTGACCTCTGTCTCCAACTCCATATAAGACGTCAGGCGGGGGGCGGGGGTGGGGGGGACGGCCCGCTGGGGGACTCAGATGGTTAAGCGTCTGCCTTCGGCTCAGATCATGATCCCAGGGTCCTGGGATAGAGCCCCGCATCGGGCTCCCTGCTCGGCGGGAAGCCTGCTTCTCCCTCTCCCACTCCCCCTGCTTGTGTTCCCTCTCTCGCTGTCTCTCTCTCTCTCTCTCTCTCTCTGTCAAATAAATAAATAAATAAATCTTTAAAAAAAAAAAAAAAAAGACCTCAGGTGGGTCTCTCTCTTTGAGCCTCAATTTCCTGTTTGTAAAGTGAAAATTATATCTGTCCCGCATACTCTAATTAGCTGATTGACTTAGAAGGGCATTGTCCCCTACCTGGTGCCTCAAGCTACAAGGAGACACTGGGTCCTGTTTTCATACAGCCTAAATCCCTGGACATGCTTAAGATGTGGCTCATTCTGGCCCCTTTATTCCTACCCCAGCATGGACCCCGAGCACCCACACCTTAGAAGTGGCCCTGGGCATCCCTGGCCAGTCACACAGCCAGCACCAGTCAGCTCAGGCCCAAGGAGAAGCCAATGATGGGATGGTTCTGGAAACCATGGCAGGTGGCAGGTGGCAGGCAGCAGACTGCTCTGTCCCTGCTAAAAAGAAACAAAACCTACACCCCTCTCACCCCTGGCTGCAGTAATTTCTTCAGGGTAAGCCCCCAGAAAGTTCTAAGCTGGAGGGTGGATGAGGCATCTCTGCCCACCTCTATCTGACAGGCCTGGTTCCCCAGCCCCAAGGTTGGGGGTGACAAGCCTGGCCCAAGGGCTAGCTATGGTGGCTGGTCCTTCTCAGGGTCACCTCAGGACAACCTCCTAGACAGAGACCAGGGCTGCAGAGAAGGGAGGGGCTCTTCAGGGGAAAACACCGCCACCCCCACCCCACCCCCACAGGCCACTTAGGAATTCCACCTGGAAGTCAGCCAGGCAGGGGTAGCAGAACAGCCCAGACCTGTATTCAGACCTGGGTTGAAATCCTGGCTCTCCCACTAACTGTAATTTGGGGCAGGTCTCCTCGCTGAGCCATCAGTTTCCAACAAAACAGGATCCCACCACCTTGTGCCCAATCTCAAAAGATTGGGGGAGAGATTCTCTATTAAAAAAAAATTATTATAGGGGCGCCTGGGTGGCTCAATCGTTGGGAGTCTGTCTGCCTTCAGCTCAGGTCATGATCCCAGGGTCCTGGGATCGATCCCCGCATGGGGCTCCCTGCTCGACGGGAAGCCTGCTTCTCCCTCCCCCACTCCCCCTGCTTGTGTTCCTTCTCTCGCTTTGTCTCTCTCTGTCAAATAAATAAATAAAATCTTTAAAAAAAATTTTTTTTATTATAGAATTTTCAAGTTTACACAAATTTAAAGAATTTAATGAATCCCTACGTACCCATCACCCAGCTTCAACCATTATCAGCTCATGGCCAACCCATGACCATACTCACACCCTCTCCCCTCACCTTGGGGCTATTTTAAAAACAAAGCTAAGACATCATTTCACCTACAAATACTTCAGAATGAATCTCTCAAAGATGAAGACTTAAACACACACACACATACAAATACCATTATCACCCCTTGAAAAGTTAACCATAATTCCTTAATATCATCGAATACCTCATTGGAGCTCAAATTTCCCCCACTTGCTCATAAGTGTTTTTTACAGTTGGTTTGGATTTGAATCAAAGAAGGTCAACACATTATGTATGTCTGAATTTCTCGAGAGCTAGAGATTCCCCATCTTTTCTTGTAATTTTGTTGTTGTCAAAGAAGCTGGGTTATCTGCTCTGTAGTTTCCTAGTCTGGATTTGGGTAATTTTATCTCCATGTGTCATTTCACATGTTCCTCTGTCCCCTGTGTTTCTGACAAACTAGCAGCTAGATCCAAGGGATGAGACTGAGGTTTTATTTCTTGGCAAAAATAATGCCTAGCTGGGAGTTCACGTGTCAGAAGAGAAGGTCTACCTCTTTGTGATTTAAAGATCAAATGGCAGGTTCGGGTGTTGCCAATTTGATAGTTATTATAAAGTTCTCCTGTCACCTAAGAGCAAAAGCTGTAAAATTCTTAGACAAAACTCTTTAGACAAAAACAGACCAGCATGGGCAGTGGGGAGAGGCCAGACCCTACAGGGTCCATCTGGGCTTGTATTTTGGAAAGATCCCTCTTTTCCATCCATCCAGGATGGGCTGGAGAAGGAAGGCAGACTCAGAGGGCTAAGTGTCGTGAGGTCCCATTTACATGGCCTTCTGGAGGGAGCAAACTATAAGGACAGAAAGCAGGAGGGAGGGGCGCCTGGGTGGCTCAGTTGGTTAAGCGTCTGCCTTCGGCTCAGGTCATGATCTCAGGGTCCCAGGATTGAGCCCCTTACTGGGCTCCTGGCTCAGTGGAGAGTCTGCTTCTCCCTCTGCCCTCACCCCGCTCTTGTGCTCTCCCTCACTCCCTCAAATACATAAAATCTTTAAAAAAGAAAGCAAGCAAGCAGGAGGGAGAGGGGTTGACAGTGGGTGTCATGGGGACTTGGGAGAGGTGCTGGGCCGTGCGTCCGGGTCGGGGTGGGAGACGCGTAACTGCATGTTTGTCAGGACTCATCCGAGCAGTTGGCCCACAGGACTCGCAGAAGGTACGTGCTGTGGGACTCCGCTCCCAGGCCTGTTACCTCCATTAGCTTTAGGCCCTGTCAGGAGATGGCACCTGGATGACAGTCCCTTATACATGCATTCATTAAACAAGCAGCTACTGGCCAGTCTCCCTGCTGGACACTGGAGACTCTCAGATGACCAAGACCACCCTGCCCTCAAGAAACGTCCAGGCTGGAGGACTCGTGGCCCTGAGCCATCCAACACATTCACCAACGCCTGGCGCCCCCCTCTCCCGCTCCCCTGCTCTACTCCAGCTAGTTAGGTCTTACCAGCAGAACTCACAGACGTATCAAAAAATAATCTTTATTGTCACTTGTATAAAACAGAGCAGATCAACTGGCCTCTCAGTCTGTACAAAGTGTGGGGCATCAGACCACCTGGGCTACCCCCATTTCTCCCACAATGCCCTGCTGCAGGGCAGTGCCCAGGAGCTCCACGGAGGGGAGGGCCACCCCCAGTGTCTTTTCTTGAGGAAAGAGGTGGGGGGTGGGGAATCTTTCTGCCTGAGGGGGAGGCAAAGGAGCAAAGCAGAAACTCCCTCCGGAGCAGGGGTGCGCTCCGATGCTCGGCGAGCTTCTGCACCTCCGGGGCCACACTGGGAGCGGCCGTCAGAGGGCCACGCGAGTACAGCAGTGACGCAGGAAGCAGGGCAGGATGCCGCGGTTCAGCTGGTGGAACTCCACGAGCTGCAGCAGGTCGGTGAAGCGAGTCTGGCCGTCGTCCATGCTGAAATAGAGGCGGCCCTCCTCCTCGCTCTGGGGGACAGCCAGAGGGGTGGCAGGTCAGGGAGAGGCGCCAGGGTGCAGGTCCCCGCTGCTCGCGCAGGGAGAAGAGACCCCAGACACACCAGGGGCCGGAGGGGGCGGCCTGGGTTGCTGCTCGAGGGGGCTTGAGGAGGAGAACAGGGATGAATGACTCACCGGGAGGATAAGATAATGTTTGACCTTCTGCAGGTGGCACAAGGAGAGGACAAAGCCCTGTGGGTTGCGCTGACTCTCTCGGACCAGGAACAGGCTGCCAGGAGATAGGGCCACGTTACCCGAGGACCCAGAGCTACAGCCCTGACACAGGGTCTCTCCTAGCCCCGTGTCTGTTGGCCTGCTCAGCCCTGCCCCTTACCCGTCTACCAGGCCCTGCTGCCCGATGAGCCGCTGGCTCTCCTCTCGGGAAATGCGTCCGTGGAACCAGGGTTGGGTGCGGTGGATGGCTGGAGTTGGGAGAGGCAGAAGGGTAGTCATTCTGGGGAGGAGACCCTCCCCATACTAGCCACCCCCACCAGGAATGCTCAGAGAAGCCACGGCAGCCCCCACCCCTGGGGACGCTAGGTGCTCACCCACCTGCACTGAGGCTCGTGCCTGAGCCTGGGGTGGGCAGGCTGAGACGGTGGTTCTTCTGTAGAGCAGGGGGGAACACAGAGGATCAGAGTGACTCGGGTATTACCCCACACCTTTAGAATATAGAGCCCCTTTCCGCACCTGGGGCCCTCCCTTACTCCTCTCTTCCTCCCATACTATAGAAACCCACATGGAGAGGGGCACCTGGGTAGCTCAGTCGGTTTAGTGTCTGACTCTTGATTTCGGTTCAGGTCATAATCTCAGGGTGGTGAGATCGAGCCCCACGTCGGGCTCCGGCGCTAAGAGTCTCTCTCTCCCTCCCTCTCCCTCTGCCCCTCCCCCGCTCTTACACACACACACACACACACACACACACACACCCCATACACAGAAAAGGTCCCCAGGACAAACATGCACATGGGTGTAGGCCCCTCACCCTCCAGGCCTGGGCCTCCTCCAGGGCTGCACTCAGAGCTTCCCCGGGGTTCTCGATGACACGCCCAGCATGGCCAGAGAAGTCCATGGCCACCAGGGTGTTATCAGAGACACTCCTCTGTAGATGGGATAGGATGGGGAGGGGTCAGAACAGGGCCCACATCTCCCCAGGCTGGGTCCTAGGTGCCCACCCCCAGCTGATGCCCCAGTGCACACTCACCAAAGGTGGAGAACCCACACAGGATGGACGCAGGTGGCGAGACTGTGCCTGCTGATAATTCTTATACAGCTGTGCCCCATACTGCGGAGTGGAGGGAGAAAGAGAGCTTGAGGTCAAGCAGGTGCTGGGGACTGGGCTGTGAAAGCCCCGGCCACTAGCACACCCCGGGAGCAAGACTGTATCTCTGCCCTGGATAAGGAGCTTTCTGAGGCCAGAGCCAGGACTCAGCCTTGGACCAAGCACATTGAGAGAGCAAGGCTACAGGGCCCCCTCATTCCTGAGGGAGGAGCTACTCGGCGCCGGGATCCAGGGGGTGGGGCCAGCCCCCCATGCCACTCCCGGGGGTCCCACCTTGAAGAGGCGGAAAGCTGCTAACCAGCAGCTGCGGCTTTGCTCATCCTCGCTGCAGAAGACCCGAAGCCCCTTGTGGCCATTTCGAAGCTTGTTCGGCTGTAGGAAGAGGAAACTGGCCTGTCCCATATCTGCCATTAGGACCAGATGTCTGTCTCCGTGGGGCAGGGCAGGGTGCAGAGAAGTGTCTGGGCGTCCCAGATGGAGCTCAGAAGCCCTAGGTAGGATCCTGGGGCCTGAGCAGCTCCCATTCCCTCCCAGGCCCGGCTGGGGTCTTTACCTTGATACAGAAGCCAAAGTCGGTGGGCATCCCATAGAGCTTGCGGCCCTGGGTCACCACATACACGTTGGACTCGTTCACGTCTGCTACATACTGCAGGTGCCTTGGATCCTATGCAGCATGGGTAGGCAGGACTTGTTACAGGTAGACCCTATTCCCCCTACTATTTTCCCCATAAGCCAGCTGGGGAGGTTTCAGAGAGGAGCAGAAAAGTGCTCCAGGTCACACAGCAAACAGAAGTAGAGCGAGGACTCAAACGCAGTTCTCACCTGCCTTTCCTACTACTACCTCCTGGGGTAGGTAAGGTGGGAGGGAAAGGAGCAGCGGAGAGTCTCAGGGCCCAGGGGCAGAAAGACCTAGGCATTCCAATAAGGGAAGAGACAACTCCTAGAAGGACCGGGAATGGGATATCCTAGGGGCTGAGGCTGTCAACCCTCGAGACCTCACCTTGGAGGTGCCTTTGGTGGAGTAATAGAGGCCGGAGCGGCGCAGGAAGCAGAAGAAGCGTTTCCAAAGCTTCCGTCCGGACCCCCGTAGCTGCAGAAAGCCCTGGATCTCTGGGAAGCTGCCTGCATTCAGGAAGTTCTGAGGCCAGAAGAGAGCAGGAAGGGGTGAGAGGCCAAGAGGGAGACAGGGAGACACACATGCACACACAGGCCTTCAGGAGAGAAGGTGTGCCACATACATTTACTGTCCCATTTCACAGACGAAGAAACTGACGGTCAGCCAGGAAAACTGACTTGTCCAGTCACTCAGCACTGTGCTAGACTCTCCACCACATAGAGGGGAGGCAAAATGCTTAAGGGCCAAAAAAGCAATAGGTGATCCCGGGGAATCATGACCATGCCACGGGATGGGGGTGTCCCTGTACCTGGATGAGGTCTTCGTGGGATATGCCTGTCGGTGCGTCCACACAGCTGGAGACCATCTTTTCTGGGAACAGGGAGTGCTGGGACGAAAGGAGTCAGGAGTCAGGGATTGAGGGCCCAGGTCGGGGATCAGGGTGTCCCAGGGCCCAGACCCCCCATCACACACACACACTCACGGGAGAGCTCTTGAACAGTTCATACTTGGCGAAGTTCTTCCGGAAGACAAAGCGGCTGTCTCCCCCAATAGGCCAGACAGCCTGCACTTCTACCACGGACTCATGGTCCTCCAAGCCCCGCTCTGGGGTCAAGGGCAAAAAGCAGGGGTCAGCGGAGAGCAGACAGGCCTCCCGGATGAACCACCTGCCCAGCCCAAGGTGCGAAGCCTTTCCTCCACGCCCAGACGGCCCCCTGCACCCCAACTCACCCAGTGCTAGATGGGGGTGGCACTCCACCAGCCCCCAGCTTTCATCGCTCAGGGCATGAGCTCGCTGCACCAGCATTTCACACACGTAGCGAGCCGTAGCGCCCGCCGCCACCTCCACAGATCGGCAGGCCCCATCTTCACTGTACACCTTCACTACCTGCAGCCCAGGAAGCGCAGAGGACTTGAGGAAGGGCGAAGGGTGGTTATTTCCCTTCCCCTGCTTGCTCTACCCTCAGGGACTCCTGACCAAACCCCCCACCATCACGGAAGTGGCACCATATCCACCCCAGTCCCATAGCACCCCCACATTCCTGCCTCCTCTCTCCCAAGACAACTCACATGGGGGCAGCTGGTGTCTCGAGGGAGCAGCCCCCTTGCACTGGAGGACCCCCCAAGAATGGGGGTCTGTGAAGGAGGACTGCAGAGCTCAGGGAAGGGGTTGGGGATGGAGGGTAGAGAGGTTGCCCGCAGCTCCTCCTCTCGAAGAAGATTCCTGTGGCCCAAGGTAGGAGGGGCAGAGAATTTGCTGACTGCAAGCTTCTGTGTTACCCAGCACTGATCCCCCCCCCACCCCACCAGCCCCTCCTCAGCTCCATTACCCCATTGTACCTGCTGGTCGGAATGGGCAGAGGCTGGGACCTCTTCACCTCCCCAGGCAGAGGGGCATCGGGAAGTGGGGGAGTCCCAGGAGGGGTCCCAGGGGCCAAGTACAGGTCTTCTGGGGAGCTGCTGAGATGAGGTGGAGACAGACCCAGCTCCATAACATCTGAGGGAGAAGAGGGGGCTGAAAGCAGCCGCTCTCGTGCCCTTGTCCCGGGGAGGGAGGCCAAGAGGACCCAGACCTCCTGACTTCACACAGCTGCCAAGGTGCCCCTCAGAGTGGACACAGCACCTTATTGCTCCCCCCTCTAACTGGAGTTTGCCTGGAGCCTTCAGGAAAGGGTAGCGTGAGCCCATTTGCAAAAGGGGACAGCAAGTCCCTGAGAAGGAAACATTCTTGCCCCCATCACAGGTGAGTCAGGGAGTGGAACTCAGTGTCTGGACTCCAAGTCCAGTGCTCTTCTGCTGCCCAGGGGAAGAGCTAAGAGGGTCCCCCCACAAGCCGGGCAGAGGCAACAGACTCCGCGCCCCACAGCCTGCTCGAGGCTTCCTCTCGGTCTCCGAGCACGCCCTGAGCATGGGGCACTCACTCCTCTGGGCTCTGCCCCGGGTTTTTCCAGTGCTTCGCTGCCAGACCCAGTTGCCAGAGCCTGTTGTGGCAACGCCTGCCCAAGTGCTGAGTGATGCACAGAAGGGGAGAAGGAGGTGGGAAAGGACAGGAACCAGGAGGGCAGGAGGAAGGCTCAGCTTCAGTGAGGACAGGACTAGCCTGGGGGCCCTTGCCCTGGCAGCCCCCAAACCTTGTGTGCCCTCTCCAGATTCCTTCTCCTGCCCAACTTTCTTGACGCCCCACTGCCAGGGCTACCTCCTCGGAGCAGCCTGCCTGGATTTTCCCCCTTCAGCCCAAGGGCTCCCTCCCTGCACTGTGCTAGGGCCTCTGAGGCAATTCCGTGCACCTGTCTTACCCACCCACTGGTCTGGAGTGGCCCGGCACCCCCGGGAAGGGCCAGGGGCCCACCCACATCCTATCGCCCACCGGTGCTGCACAGGCACTTAGGACAAGAACAGGTGAGCTGGGGCAAAGATGCCCACTGGGGACAGAGGCAGCACAGGCCCGTCCTCCACAGGAAGCGGGACCCCTTGGGCAGGCCTAGAACCTGGGAGGCCCTGGGAGAACCTGAGACCTAGGCCAGTGCTGTTAGGATGCCTACAGCACCTGGCATCGACCCTCCAGGATGGGGCAGGCCCCTGACCCTTAAGTGAGGGGATCTGGGGGACAGGTGAGTCAGGGTGGGGCGGGACAGCACTGCCTGGGGCTCTCTATTCAACCTTGACTCATCTGCACGACTTCCTGGCTTAGGAGAAACAAACAGCCCTGCCTCTACCCGCCTCCCCCCTTCCTACCCCCAACCTACCAGGCCGGGAGGGCTGGGGGAGGCGCAGGGCAGGGGTGGGCTGGGGGAGAAAAGAGGATGCGGGGCCTGCAGCTCCTCTGAGGTCATTTTCTCCTCCCCACCCTTGGCCTACCTCCAGTCCAGGCAGGACCTACGGTAGTCTCTGCCCAGCCCAGGGGGGAGGGGAGCCCCCTCACCCAAGGGGAGGAAAAAGGCCTGGCCTGGATTCAAAGGCCCATCTGGAGCACAGCCGACCTCCCAGTGATGCCCTCACTCACCCAAAGAAACCACACAGTGCTCCCTACCCTGTCTGGGGCCTACCAGGCTTTCATGCTGCTGCTGCTGCCCACCCCCAGCACCCAGGCCTCAGTGGGCGCAGAGGACTCGGCTAAGTCAACCCTGGGGGATGACGTCCTCCCAACACACTCCCTGGGGTGTCCTGGCCAGAGGCTTACTGCAGGCGCAGGAGTAGCGAGACACCCTAGAGGACAGACACAGACAGACAGGAGGAAAGGCCAGGCGGCAGCAGCAGGGATGGGACTCAGGGTCCTGGGGGGGGGGGGCCGGCAGGACACGCCCACCAGCGAACATCAACAACAAGGCACGATGTCCCCGCTCCTATCCCATCTACCCTCTGGCCACCAGCCCTGGTGACTTCACTCCCGGGAGACTGGGGGGCTGCAGAGAAGCCAGAGAGGAAGCCAGAGACCAAAAGTCGGGTCCTACTCCATCCCAGAGGGAAGAGGAATGGGGCAGTGTTTGGGCAGGGAGTCGGCAGCAGATTTAAATCAGAATCAGATCAGAGTCCGGCCTCAGACGGCTGGAGGGCCACTGAAGACTTGGGTTTGGCCTTTCGATCCCTCCACCTTGCCCTCCAGACCCTTCTAAGGCAAGAGAAGAGTGGGGCGGTTAGATCCAAATAGATGGGATGGGAAGAGAACGGGGTCCTAGCTGTGGGGCCCGGGGAACACCCTCCCAAGAGACCTGAACCTTTCAAACGGGGGCCCTAGGGAAAGCTTCTGTTGAAGAAACCGACCCCCAAAATCTATCAGTCCCCTCAACACTACAAGTGCAAGCCGACGCTTCCCCAACGGCCTCCCCTGCCCCGCGGCTCGGGCCCCACCCTCCTTCCCGCCCTCCCGGCCTCCTGCCTCCTTGTTTACTTCCTGAATCTTGCCCCACCTGGCTGGTCCCGAGGGCGGGTGGCAGGGCCCGGAGAAAACAAGGCCACCTCCGTCGCTAAGCCGGGGAGGGGGAGGGGCCGACAGGGCCGAGGCCTCGGCGGGGGATCAGCGGGTGGCGAGAAGGCCCCGGGCCGGCCCCAGCACTCCACGCCCCGCCCCCCATCGGGATTTATTGTGGGGTGGGGGGAGTGGAAGGCTCAACCTTCGGGGGAGTTCTGAGGGTGCAGGGCCCAGGTGAGGAGGCGGGAAACCCCTAGGTGACCCGGAGTCGGGGGGAGGGCCCAGGACCCCGAGGCCCCGCCCACTCCCTCACTCTGGAAAAAACGCCCAATGGTAAAAGGGGGGGTAAGCTTTCTTAAAGTTTAATTTGGGAAGAATGCTAGATTGTGTCTGTGGAGTTAATCATTACAGGCTGCTTGCCTTCTTGGAGGGCTCCCCCAGCAGGATCGGGGGGAGAGGGGAGAGCAGAGTCTAGGACAGGGCGAGCAAGAGGGGCCATTCTTGAGGGGCAGTAGGGTTGGGAGGCCTTCCAAGGGCGGACAGGTGCATTCTCCATCCCCGCCGTGTCAGGGAGATCCAGACTCGGGTCTTTCTCCAAACACGGCCCCCAAACACGCACACACACTTTTCCTAGGCCCCGCTGCGCCGCAGACCCCTCAGCTTCCAGCCCTCCAGCCTTCGAGCCTTCATTCCGACGCCAGGAAGGACCCCCGGGCCTGCCCCGCCCCCACCTTCCCTACGTAGGGCAGGACCCTGTGCTCTGAGCAGGCAAACAATCCGGAGACCGAGCTCTTAACAATTTAGGGGATCCCTCTCCTCTGCTGCCCTCCAAAGTGGAGAGTGCCCCCAGCCCCCGCGCGGAGACGTCAGTCTTTGGTAGAGCCTTGGGAAGACCTCAAACGGGTAACCTCGGGCTGAGCCAGGAATGACTCGAGGCAGTCCTCGGTGTTCTGCCCCCCTCCTAGCTCTCTTTCTGGGAAGGTGGGGAGGGGCTAGTTTCAGCGGGAAAGCCGCGTCTCGGGGAGGAGAGGATCGGAGATCTTCCTTCCCCAATCCCCATCAGCTGCTTTGTCCGGGGGCCGGGGGGAGGCGGGCTACAGGGAGGAAAGGAAGGAATAAGGAGACAGGAAACGAGAATAGGGAAAGACTGAGGGCAGATGGCGAGGAACGGGCGGGATATGGGAGACTGGAGAAAAAGAGAAAGCGAGGCGGCCAGAGCAACACAGCAGGAGGCTGAATCTTTCCATATTGCCCCGGGACCTGCCGCTGCTCCCCACCCTCAAGATGAAGTGCCCGTTGGGTCCTTACCTGGACCCTGGGCGTAGGAACACCTGGCTGGGGCCACCGGTTTAGGGAGGGAGACGCCAGGCCCTTAACTACCTGTCCCCCCTCCTGCCCCCGCCCTTGGCCTGCCATCACTGAGGGGGGAAAGAGGAGGAGGGGGGAGCCAGGCGCCACCTGGGCAACCTGCCAGCTCCTGGCCCTGACACGGGCACAGCCTGGGGCCCTGGTGTGGCTGGCTGGGGGTGGGAGCATGTTGTCGGCTGGGACCGATTTTGGTCATCTTACCTGGAGGAGCCCCAGCAGGAGCAGCAGGACACCGGGTCTGAAGTCCGGTTCTGTCTTGGGACCCCAGATACCTGGACTTGATTTCAAATCCACTCCTTCTTCTCTACAGGTGGTAGGAGGGTGTCCCGACTTTGGACGCAGAAGTGAGGGCTGGGGGGAGGGAGAGCCTTGTGTGTCCAGGCTCCTGGCCCAAGGAAACTAAAATTATCTCGGGCAGGTGGGGGCGGGGCCTGGGGTAGAAGCATGGGAGGAGGAACCATAGGAGGAGGGGCGGGGACTCCCTGATACTACGCCGGCTGGGATTGTTTTTGCCCTTCTTAGCCCGGGAGCAGGTGCCAGGGGAGAGGCGGGGAAGACAGGCGAGCCCTCAAGAGCAAAGATCGAGAGTCCTCGTGCGGGAGGGGGGGGGGGACGACGGACTGGGGGCTGGAAGGTAGGGGGAAAGGGCACTCACCCTTCCCCATGCTCCTCACCAAATCGGGTCTGCTCATTGGCCAAGTTGGGGGCCTATGTGGGCCTCTGGGTCCCACCGGATGGGGCAAAGAGTACTCAGAGAAAGAGGGAAACCGGCCAGAAGGGTGTCCAGCAACAGGGGCTGCCCCTTGACCTCCAGCCACAGTCTGGCCACCCAGCCTGCACCCTGGCCCTCAGAGGCACCCAGGGGGGATGTTCTCCCTTCTTTGCAAAGTCCAAGGTCTCAGCTTCTTCTGAAATACAAGGGGTTAGGCAGGGTCTCACGGTGGGAGGAGTGATCTAGGGGAAGCTCTGGCCAGGTGCCAGGGGACTCCCCTTCGGGAGATCACTTTAGCTCTCTCCTCCAGCATTAGGCAAACACAAGGGTCAGGGAGAGGGCCTGGAAAGCCACAGATCAAAGGCAGTGGCCACCTCCCAACCTCAAGTGGGTGACAGTTGGGTAAACAAACAGTCCTTAAGGGTGATAAGAGGTCTGCCCTGGGGGACCATCAAGGAGTGGCTCGAGCCTCAACTTTCTCCAAACGGGGTTTTCCTCGAAAAACCAGTAGGAGTGGACTAAGCAAAGAAGTGGGGGAGGGGGCAAGGTC